GTGTGTGTGTGTGTGTGTGTGTGTGTGTGTGTGTGTGTGTGTGTGTGTATGAATCTTTTCTTTTTCTCTGTTGAGAGTCAAGTGAGGGTAAGTGTGCTGTAAACCATGTATTCAATTATCCACGCTCCAGATGCTCCGAGGAACTCTCTCCAGGTGGAAAAGGAGAGGGAGGAGTGGGAGAGGGAGCAGCGGAGGGGGGAGGCGCAGACCCAGTCCCGTTCGCAGCGCTCCGTCAGCCGAGAGCGCTGGGTGGAGACCATGGTGGTGGCTGACTCCAAACTCATCGAGTACCATGGCAATGACAACGTGGAGTCCTACGTCTTCACCATCATGAACATGGTGAGGAGGCGGAGCTAACTTATGGTTTTGTCCAATAAAGCTGTTGTATTTCTCATACAAGAGATCTTTTTTTTCTTGTCAACAGGTAGCTGGGATCTTCCATGATGCCAGTATTGGGAATGCCATCCATGTTGTTTTGGTGCGCCTCATTCTGCTCCAAGGAGAAGAGGTAACGTGAACGTGACAAAACAAAACAGGTGTTCATACACTAACATTATATGTGGAGAAAATAGAAGAATGGCTTTAATATAAACATAAACATAACAAGGGTGACAGTTTGATACATAAAACAGTATTTTAGCTCAAATAAGATGATTGTAAAAGAGTTATTTGCTGGTCATTTTTATATTTGCTAATTTCAGAAAGTATTTATTTTAAAAATGTATTTGCACCCAATGCATGGAACTGTGGCTGATCTGCAGAGCTCCTTCAGTGACAGACTGCTGCATCCTAAATGCACAAAAGACAATTACCGCAGATCCTTCTTCCCATCAGCTGTTAGACTCTATAAACAGCACTGCATCCAAACAATCATGATAAGCAAGTATCCATGTTTGTGTTTGCACACCAAACAACTCTATCTCTCAGTCATTACATAAATAATAATCAGTGGCAATTGAACATTATTTTTTCCTGTACTGGAACACTGAATGACTGAGTTTGAAACAATTTGCACACCCCTGAGTTCGACACAATTTGCACACCCCTGAGTTCGACACAATTTGCACACCTCTGAGTTCGACACAATTTGCACACCCCTGAGTTCGACACAATTTGCACACCTCTGAGTTCGACACAATTTGCACACCTCTGAGTTCGACACAATTTGCACACCCCTGAGTTCGACACAATTTGCACACCTCTGAGTTCGACACAATTTGCACACCCCTGAGTTCGACACAATTTGCACACCCCTGAGTTCGACACAATTTGCACACCTCTGAGTTCGACACAATTTGCACACCCCTGAGTTCGACACAATTTGCACACCCCTGAGTTCGACACAATTTGCACACTCCTGAGTTCGACACAATTTGCACACCCCTGAGTTCGACACAATTTGCACACCCCTGAGTTCGACACAATTTGCACACTCCTGAGTTCGACACAATTTGCACACCCCTGAGTTCGACACAATTTGCACACTCCTGAGTT